GAAAACGAGAAGCTAAACACAATTGTCATTAGAGACTTCAACTTAACGAATGAACGAACTACTTGGATCAGACGGGCGACTGACCGACCTCATCTGAGACGAGGACGGGAAGAACTTGAAGATTGGCTGGATACGCTTGGACTAGTCGACGCCTGGCGGTTCATGCACCCCGAAGTTCGAGACTTCACGAGCCCTTCGCGAAAGAATCGTTTGGACTATTGTTTTGTGACCGCGGACCTATTACAAGACAATTTGATCTCAGTGAAGCATATTCGCGACCAAAAGTGGCATAATGAAGATCACATACCGGTGGCGTTTTCGCTCGAGGCCAAGCGTCTACAGCGGACCGGACGGCCACCGTGGCGCTGCCCACCCTGGCTTCTTAGAGATGCAACGGTGCAGGATTATCTCATCCGGTCGGTCGAAGCATTGGCTGACCGAATAAAGATTTTCCCAGGAGCTAATCCTGGCTGTCTACTCGACGAACATAAGCGTGCGGACTGCATCTATCTTCGGCGCCGCTGGCTCGAGCTTCGGAAGGCTGACGAGCGAAAGATGGCAGCTAAGATCGACGCCGTTAACGACGCGACTGATCTTGTCAACGTGATACCTACGGAAGAGAACCACACTGCGTTGGAACAAGCCAAGTTAGATCTTCAGTCCCATAGGGAGGACATCAAAGCGCGGAATGAGTACAAGAAGTTTGCTGCGGACTTACATCTCAGCGAGCGAGCAACTAGCTATTTCTTTCGCGCCCCGCAATCTGACTGCCTTCGGTCTCCAATCACAGCGCTGACCCAAGAGGACGGTACTGTAACAGATGACCAAGATGCCATTGCAACGGGCCATCGCCAGTTTTGGGGTCGGATCTTCCAATCCACTTCATCTGACTTACGGGACCAACGCACAGCGACGTACAAGCCTCTCAAGCTCGCCAAACTGTTACGCGATACGACTACCCGGTTGGACGCGCAACAGCAGGCAATGCTCGATGCTCCGATTACGGCAAACGACTTGTTTTGGGCGATCACGACTTCAAAGAACGGGAAAGCTCCTGGGCCGGATGGGCTGCCTATTGAGTACTACAAGCTGGCTTCAAACCTGTGGGCGCAAATCTACGAAGTGGTTTACGGTAATCAGCTAGAGAAGGGGAAAATGACCAAGTTTCAACGAAGGGCTCACCTTTCACTACTGTACAAGTCCGGCGATCGCACCATGCCCGGAAACTATCGACCGTTGACACTTCTCAACCATGACGCCAAGCTCGGACCAAAGGTCATGCAGCGGCGCTTGGGAGGAGTACTTCCGTTTCTTATTCATGAAGACCAAAGTGGCTTCGTTCCTGGGAGGTCTATTCGGCACTCGCTTCTCCGATTCCAAGACTTGCAGGAGATCTGCAAGACTAAGTACCCTGATGCCTGTGCGGTACTTCTAGACTTTGCGAAGGCTTTCGACAGTGTGCTGTGGCCTGCGTTGGATATGGTACTTCAACACTTCGGTTTCGGTGCGACGTTCCGAGCGTGGGTGAAGACATTCTACAATGAAACTTCTGTTAGTCTGCTGCTCAACGACTGCCCCGGCGACCCTTTTCTACTGGGTGCTGGTGTACGACAAGGTGACCCCCTCTGCACCTGGTCTGTTCGTTGTTTTCGTGGAACCAATGATGAACTTCCTTCGAGCCCGATTTGCTTCTCGTGGCATCCCTGTTGATGACGTGAGCCTACGACACCTGCTTTTGGCGTTTGCGGACGACTGCACGGGTCTCGTATCGACTCTAGAAGACGCGGAACAATTTCTGGAGTTAGTACAAGAATATGCCGACGCAGCCGGGCTGCGACTCTTCACACTTCAGGTGTATGACACGTCATACTCCGGGATATTTAATACAAGGTACCAAGGTCGTTCAAAGCCAACCATTGGTCAAACGACATTGCATTTCTATAGGTAACTTATAGTTTGTATTAAACCCAAACTTAACCTACCTATAAATATTCTCAGTTTACAATCTACCTTATTTAGGTCACTTCGCTCTCTTTAATAAAGAGGGGACCTGTGAACTGCCGTTCACTGAGAGTTTGTATACTCTCGGAAGATAACTTCCTCTAGCGCAAGGTGCTGTGTGACCCCGTCACAGATACACCCCTGGAGTCGTGTTCCTTGCTCCATCCGTTCTGGTGAGCGCCGTTAGCTGCCTGAGTCCGGTTGTCCAAAACTCTTGAGCGGTGCCTTCGATAGATGTTTCCTCGTGCTGATATACGACCCGATTCCTTTGGATCCACAGCGTGGTGGTGCATACACTGGATAGAATACGCCAGATCCTCGTCCATTCTGCTCGGTAGAGCTTCTCGTCATCCGGATGAGCCGCTATGATGCTTCTCACGCTGGGCGTATTTAACGCCGGTGCTTTCCTGGCCGCGCAATTGCTGCGGTACTGTTCGCGCCGAATGATTTCTCTGTGATCACCCGTCCAATGACTGATTAGCTTGGACCAGCACTCCTGCGTACATGAACACTCCCAGAAGATGTGCGATAGGGTCTCCTTCACTCCTTGACACTCTGGCAACTTCCGGCAGCTATTATCAATTAGTTGGCTTCGTGGAAGAGGTGA